AGGGAGATTAATAATTTAAATGTAAGACTTCAAGCTATAAGAATCCTAGAAGAAAATCGAGAAAACACCATTCCAGACATTTGCCTTGGAAAAGAATTTATAGCTAAGTCTTCAAAGCAACTGCAACAAAAACAAAAAAGTCGGGCCTAATTAACTAAAAATCTTCTGCACAGAAAAGAAACTATCAGCAAAGCAAACAGACAACCTATAGAATGGGAGAAAATATTTTCAAACTTTGCATCCAACAATGTCTAATATCCAGAATCTATACTCAATTTAAACAAATTAATAAGCGAAAGACAAATAACTCTATTTTTAAAAATGGGCAAAACAGGAAGCAGAGGCTGCAGTGAGCCAACGTCATGCCACTACACTACAGCCTGGGTGACAGAGAGAGACATTGTCTCGAAAAAAAAAAGTGAACAAAAGACACTAACGGACACATCTCAAAAGAGGACATACAAGTGGGCAATGAACATATGAAAACACTCTCCACATCACTAATCATCAGAGAAATGCAAAGAAAAATCACACTGAGAAACCATCTCACACGTGTCGGAATGGCTATTTCTGAAAAATCAAAGAATAACAAATGTTCACAAGGCTGTGAAGAGAAGGGAACACATATACTGTTGGTGGGAATGTAAATTAGTCCAGCCACTGTCAAATGCAATTTGGAAATTTCTCAAAGAACTTAAAGCAGAACTACCATTTAGCCCAGCAATCCTATTACTGGATACATCTATATATCTGCCCCAAAAACAAATCTCTCTACCAAAAAGGCACATGCTCTTGCATGTTCACTGCCGTACTCTTCACAATAGGAAAGACATGGAATCAACTTAGTTAACCCATCAGTGGTGGACTGGATAAAGAAAATGTGGTATATCTATACTATGGAATACTACACAGCCATAAAAGAATGAAATTATCTCCTTTGCAGCAACATGGATACAGGTGGAGGCATTTTCCTAATTGAATTAATGCAGGAGCAGAAAATCAAATAAAAATACTGCATGTTCTCACTTTTAAGTTAGAGCTACACACTGAGTACTCATGGGCATAAAGATGGCAACAAGAAACACTGGGTATTCCTAGAGTGGGGAGAGAGAAAGATGAACACGGGTTGAAAACCTATTGGGTATTATGCTTACAACCTGGCTGACAGGACCATTCAGACCCCAAACCTCAGCATCATGCAACATATCCAGGCAACAAGCCTGCACGTACACCCACTGAATCTAAATAAAAGTTGAAAGGTATATTTTTCATGTCAGATCAATATGCAATTTTTGGCATATAATACAGAAGGAGCTTATTTCAGTCATCTGTTTCTACCTAACAAATAACCCCCAAACAGTTTCTTAAACAATTTAATATTTCTCATAATTCCTTAGGATAGGAACGTGGAGGTGGGCTTAGCTGGGTAGTTCTTTTTCTCCTTGTGATGTCAACTGGGGCCATTTACTCAGCTGTTTTCAGTTGGTGAGTAGAATGTTTTTTAAAAAGTCCAAGGAGGTTTCTCTCACTTGTCTGGTGCCTCTGATCTCTCCATGTGACTCCACATGGACTTTCTTCCAACATAATAAAGTATGGACTTCTTATATCATAAGAACATATAATATAAGAAGTTCTTTAGGAGGTAAATAGTTTTACCTCTCTAGTTTTGAAAGGTAAACAGTAGTTTCTAGGCCTCTTAAATATTAGGCTCAGAACTCTCACAGTGCCACTTTCTTCAAATTAAATTGGTCAATGAAAATTTCAAGACCAGCCTAAAGACAAAGGTACAGAAAATAGGCTTGACCTCTTGTTGGTTGAAAGAATATGTATGTACCTGAAGGAAGGAAATGATGGCAGGCATCTTTGGAGACTACCTACCACAGAGTTCAAGGAATTAAGTGACATCACTATAATTAAGACTCCTTCCATGTCAAATACTTTTCACTGATTTATTCAGAAATATTGAGGGCCTATTATATGTCTGGCACAGCTCTAAGAATAAAGGATATAATCATGAACAAAATCCTACTCATTTTGAGCTACAGCAAAGATAGCCATATTTTGCAATAAAAGGTCCTTTATAAATGTCAGCAATTATTGTTGACTGTGAGGTGACAAAACAATACATCAATCACTTCTACTGAACTTTGCAGCATGATGAAGCTATAGTGCACTAGTAACTCTAAGAAATTTCTATTATTACTTTAGAATTGTGTGATCAAATAAGTCTTATTTTCAATGTTTTAGTTACAGGAAAGCATAGAATCAACAGGTGGAATTAATTTCTTTTTCTAGCTTATTATTCCAACAAAAGCATATGCTTTTATAGAGAAGAACATCCCTGCTGTTTGAAAACTAAAAGATGACAGGACTATAAAAAATGGATAATGTCTAAGAGTGGTTTTCAGAAATTTGATGAGGAATTTCCTGTACAGTCTGGAGTAGAAAGACTAGGAGGTTGTCTCAGTTGTTGAAGTCTAAGTATCCTTTTTCTTATTACTAAAAATATTTCTGCTTTGTTATATTTAATACTCCTATTACATGTTACATAATATGTAATGCTTCTAATAAAAATATATTATATCATAAATGCTCAAATTAATAACTATTAAGGTTTTGATGGTAGGCAATCTACCCAATGAGAATTGATAGCTAGGTATAGGAAATCAGAAGTATACCAGTGTGTGATGACCCTAAGCCATTGTGTTGCCAGCCCAGCATCTATGCATGAAACAGAGTAATTCCTCTCCCTCAGCCCCACGAACAGGCCCCCATATTGATTTCCGATGAGTCATACTTGTACAATGGGACCCATTCCATTGACCACTGTTGGCTGGAACAGGCTTGGCACTTGATCCATGCTGAGACAATCAGTTAAGATTAGGGCTGAGGGAAGTTTGTCTTTTTTATGAAACTAGACCTATTAGACACATGTGAAGCTTGGATACTGTGGTTTGGCATCTTCTACCTATTATACTTCCTCCAGCAAAGCAGAGGAATCCATTCTGCAAAGACAAAGAAAGAAGAATGTCACAAATGCACTTGTTCTAGTAAGCGAGGATCCTTCTGCCTTTTTAGTGCCTGGGTCCAGTAGCTGCCTGCCCTTGACTTCTGCGAGGCACCCATGTACTTTCCTAGTAAATTCCCCCTTTTCTCTTTCAGGTATAATCAGAGGATGTTCATCAGAGTTTAAGGAGAGCAGTCACAGAGGAGGAAGTAAGATAGACCAAAACTAGGCAGGGGAACCAGGAGAAGAACATAACAAACAGGGATCAATAGCAAGGTGGCCCATGACAAAATGAAGTGGAAATATATGTGCCAAAGACTCCAGACTGTCACTGACACACTGTTGCACTCTTTCTGTGTGGCCCGGACTAACATAGTAAACAAGTGCCCAAGTAGGAATTGTTTATATTTCTCTCTATCTTATAAACATGCCTCTGCATCTTATAAACATTCTCTCTGTATGGGCTTTAGCCCCAATCTTTAAAAAAACAAACAAACAAAAACTTATTTCTCTAAAAAAGAAAAATCCTATTTTCTCCTTTCTCAACCAAATGACTTGAAAGAAGGTAAATTGCATTCTTGCCCTTATTTGGTGAAATGATTTTCTTCCCCATCTCCAGGTTTCACAAGCATTTTCTGGCTCCTCAGTCTTTCTCATTACCATGTGACATTGTCCCTGGATAATTCTACCTAAACAGTATCTCTCCAATCTGTTCTCGCCTCAGTAGCCCTCATCCTCTCTTACTGAGACTCGTGGAATAGTCTCCTAACTAGTCTCCCTGTGCCAACCTTTCCTCTTTCTAATTCATTCTGTATAATATTACCAAAACTATCTTTCTAAAGACCTTCTAAGTCTTCATGTTGCTTTAGACAAAATCTATAATTTAGCTGTCAACATTACCTTAAATCTTACTCCGACCTTATTTTTTTCAATTATAAACCTATCCTTATGTATTACATTGCTATGGACTAAATGTTTGTGTCTCTGTAAACTTCCTATGTTGAAACCTTAATCTCTAGCATGATGGTATTTGGAGATGGTCTAAGAGGTAAGTAGGTCATGGGTGGAGCCCTCATGTTGGGATCAGTGCTCTTATTATAAGAGGAGACATCAGAAAGCTTGTTCTCTCTCTCTCTCTCTCTCTCTCTCTCTCTCTCTCTCTCTCTCTCTCTCTCTGTGTGTGTGTGTGTGTGTGTGTCTATGTGTGTCTCTGTGTGTGTCTGTCTGCCTATCTGTCTGTGTGTGTCTCAGCCATGTGAAGATATAGCAATTGTCTGCAATCCATGAAACTAACTCTCACCAGACATCAGACCTGCCAGCATCTTCATCTTGGACTTCCCAACTTCCAGAACTGTGAAAAATAAATGTTTGTTGTTTAAGCCACCAAGTATATGGGATTCTTGTTATAGCAACCTGAGCTGACTAAGACATATACCCTACATTACAATGACATATTCCCAAACACACCACTTTTTATGCTTTTGTGCTTTTTCTATGTTGTTCCCTTTGCCTAAAATGCCTTTCCCCCATACATACCAACCCTCCATTCTGTCTCATAAAATTTTTAAATTCTCCTCTGTGAAATTTTACTTGTGTTTTAAGCTGCTGATATTGCTTGTAACTCATATATTTGCTTGTGGCACTAACAGAGCATTCACCGCACTATATAGCAGGGTTTACAAAAGATTCCTGCTGAATGTAAACCTTCAGAAGCCAGAAAAAACACATTATTGTTTATCTCTGAAACACCTAGAGATGTTCCTTAAAATACTAAATAATTATTTACTAATTTAAATTAAATTATTAGTCAACCTGCAGGTTAAAATGGCATTTCTATCCCCTATGATTTATACATTGACACAGAAATGTTTTTATTTTTAAAACAATAATCCAACAGTCACTTATTACTCATTTAATAACTGTTCACTTTATTTCTCTAACATGTATTATTTCATAAGTCAATTGTGCAGCAGTAGCTTTGAAGTCCTTAATGTAATCATTTTTATTTAAATAGTTAAAAAAAATTCCAGGGTTGATAGTAGTCAATAGTCCCAGCTAATCATTTCTACTCAGAGACTGCAGTACCCAAATAAAATAGCAACTCTGATTTTTTTAATTTGATGTTTTATTTTAACTTTTATTTTAAATTCAGGGGTACCTGTGCAGGATGTGCAGGTTTGGTACATACACACACATGTGTCGTGGGGATATGTTATACAAATTATTTCATCACGCAGTTATTAAGGCTAGTGACCATCAGTTATTTTTCCCGATCTTCTCCCTCCTCCCCCTGTTCCCTCCGGTAGGCCCCAGTCTATGTTGCTCCTCTCTATGTGTCCATATGTTTCCATCACTTAGCTTCCACTTCTGAGTGAGAACATCTGCTTCTGAGTTAGTTTGTTAAAGATAATGGCCTCCAGCTCCATTCATGTCCCTGCAAACGACATGGTTTCATTCTTTTTTATAGATGCATAGTATTCCATGGTGCATGTGTACCACATTTCCTTTGTCCAGTCTATCACTGATGGACATTTGGGTTGATTCCACGTCTTTGCTATTGTGAATATTGCTGCAATGAACATAGGCATGCATATTACCTTTATAATAGAATCATTTATATTCCTTTGGGTATATACCCAGTAATGGGATTGCTGGGTAAATGGCATTTCTGGTTCTAGGTCTTTGAGGAATTGCTACACTGTCTTCCACAATGGTTGGACTAATTTACACTCCCACCAACAGTGTAAAAGTGTTCCTTTTCTCTTCAACCTTTCCAGCATCTATTATTTTTTGACTTTTTAGTAATAGCCATTCTGACTGGTATGAAAAGACATCTCATTGTGGTTTTGACTTGCATTTATCTAATGATTAGTGATGTTGAGCTTTTTTTCATGTTTGCTGGCTGCATGGGCAGATGCTTTTGAGAAGTGCTTGTTCATGTTCTTTGCCCACTTGTTAATGGGGTTGTTTTTTTCTTGTAAGTCTGTTTAAGTTTCTGACAGATGCTGAATATTAGAGCTTCATACATCTGTTTAAGTTCTGATGGATGCTGGATATTAGACCTTTGTCAGATGCAGAGTTTGCAAAATTTTTCCCATTCTGTAAGTTGTCTGTTTACTCTGTTGATAGTTTCTTTTGCTATGCAGAAACACTTTAATTAGATTCCATTGTCAATTTTTGCTTTTGCTGCAAATGCTTTTGGTGCTTTCGTCATGAAATCTTTGCCTGTGCCTATGTCCTGAATGGTATTGCCTAGGTTTCCTATTGAGGGAATGTGTTCTCTTTTCAGGTCCACGAAGGGGCATAGTTTCAAGGGCAAGAACTTCCCAGCACCATGCTCCCCTCCCATGCCTCTCCATTTGGGAGATTTAATGGTTTCTGTTTTAATTTTCATGGGTGTGGGAAAGGGTCAAAAGTCAGTCACTCCAGCAGAAGTTCAAAGGAACTCCTTTCATTGGCCAGGAGTCTGAGAGAAGGTGGGAGTTCCTCCCAGGTTAAAAGTCCCGTCTCCCTCATCTGGGCGAATTTCCCTTCTGGGGTCCCCTTGCACACTCTCGTGGAAGCTTGTCTTCCCCTCCTAAACTCCATATCTCTCTCTCTCTCTCTCTCTCTCTCTCTCTCTCTCTCTCTCTCTCTCTCTCTCTCTTCCCCTCCACTCAGTGTGGAAGCTGTCTTTCTCTATCCTGAAATTCCCCCTCTGGGGTCCCCTTCCATCCAATGTGGAAGCTGTCTTTCCTCTCCTGGATTCTATCTTTCTGGATTCTCTCACTCAGTGTGCGAGGAGCTTTCCTTCTCTGGTTTTCCCTCTCTGGGAACCCTTCTCACTCAGTGTGAGAGTGCCTTTTCTTTCTCTCACTCAGTGTGAGAGCTAGCTGCTTCTTTCTCTCTCCTTCTCCTTTGGCTCTGCTGAAATAAATCACTTTTCTACAAAAACTTTTTTGGGGTACAGTATTTACGAGCACACCCACCATGGTCCCCTCTCCTATTCTTGAGAAAGCGAGAGACCCAGAGCCTGGAGTCCACCAGGGAGCGAGCTGAGCGCTCCCCTGCACCCCAAAACCCACCAACACTTCCAGGGTGTTTTGGTTTTGGTTTTTTGTTTTTGTTTTGAGATGGAGTTTCACTCTTGTTCCCCAAGCTGGAGTGCAATGGTGCGATCTTGGCTCACTGCAACCTCCACCTCCCAGGTTCAAGTGATTCTCCTGCCTCAGCCTTGCAAGTAGCTGGAATTATAAGTGTGTGGCACCACACCAGGCTAATTTTTTGTATTTTTAGTAAAGATGGGGTTTCACCATGTTAGCCAGGCTAGTCTCAAACTACTGACCTCAGGTGATCTGCCTTCCTTGGCCTCCCGAAGTGCTGGGATTACATTTGGGTTTTTACATTTAAGTCTTTAATCCATCTTGAGTTGATTTTTGTATAAGATGGAAGGAAGTGGTCCTGTTTCAGTTTTCCATATATGCTAGCCAGTTCTCCAAGAACTATTTATTAAATAGGGAATCATTTCCCCATTGCTTGTTTTTGTCAAGTTTGTGGAAGATCCAAAGCTTAAGCTGATAAACAATTTCAATGAAGTCTCAGTTCTTCAATCAAATGTGAATGATTCCCTAGCTGTAGGTGTATGGTCTTATTTCTGAGTTCTCTCTTCTGTTCCATGTTCTTGTACAAGAACCATGCTGTTTTGATAACTGTATCCCTGTAGTATAGTTTGAAGTTGGGTAGCATGATGCCTCTCACTTTATTCTTTTTGCTTAGAATTGCCTTGGCTATCGGGCTCTTTTTCTGTTCTATATGAATTTTAAAGTAGTTTTCTTCTAGTTCTGTAAAGAATGTCAGTGGTAGTTTAATGAGAATAGCATTGAATCTATAAATTGCTTTGGGCAGAAATGCCATTTTACCAATATTGATTCTTCCTATCCATAAGCATGGAATATTTTTCAATTTTTTTTGTGTCATTTCTCATTTCTTTTAGTAGTGGTTTGTAGTTCTCCTAAAAGAGGCCTTTCACTTCCCTCATTAGCTGAATTCCTAGGTATTTTATTCTCTTTGTAGTAATTGTGAATAGGAGTTCATTCATGATTTGGCTCTCAGCTTAACTATTGCTGATATATAGAAATGCTATTTGCACATTGATTTTGTATCCTGAGACTTAGCTGAAGTTGCTTATCAGCTTAAGAAATTTTTGGGTTGAGACAATGGGCTTTTCTAGATATAAAATCATATCATCTGCAAACAAAGAGAGTTTCATTTCCTCTCTTCTTATTTGAATATGCTTTTTCTTTCTCTTTCCTGATTTCCCTGGCCATATCTTCCCACACTATGTTGAGTAGGAGTGATGGGAGAGTACAACTTTGTCTTGTGCTGTTTTCAAGAATAATGCTTCCAGCTTTTGCCCATTTGGAATATTGGCTATGGGTTTGTTACATATGGCTCTTATTATTTTGAGGTGCGTTTCTTCAATATCTCATTTATTCAGAGTTTTTAACATGAAGTGTTGAATCTTATCATGGACCTTTTCTGCATCTGTTGAGATAATCAAGTGTTTTTTTTTTCTGCTTATGTGATGCATCACATTTTTTGATTTGCATATGTTGAACCAAACTTGTATCCTGGGGATGAAGCCTACTTGATTGTAGTGGACAAGCTTGTTGATGTGCTTCTGGATTCGGTTTGCCAGTATTTTGCTGAGAATTTTTGCCTGAATGCTCAACAAAGATATTGGCCTGAAGTTTTGTTGTTGCTGTTGTTATATCACTGCCAGGTTTTGGTATCAGGATAATGCTGGCCTCATAGAATGAGTTAAGGGGAGGAGTCCCTCCTTTTCAATTTTTTGGGATACTTTCAATAGGAATGGTGTTAACACTGGTGTTTTTTTAAATATTTACAGTTTATTTTAAACTATCACAGATTGTATAAACATACCTGAAATTAAATGTTTTATACATTTCAAATCCAAAAACATATAAGCTTAGCACAGAACAAACTCCAAACATATTTCAAGATACACATTCATTAGTAGATACAATTAGTAAAACTAATTCTTATTCAAAATATAAACACCATATTAAGATAAAGAAAAATTAATCATGAAAATGTTTTGCTATTAAGTAATGGTCTACATGTAAAAATATTTATATTGTAAAACAAATTAGCCAGCATATTGTAGAAAGAATCAAAACTTAGTGAAAAAGAAAAGCTTGGTCCAAATAATTCTCTGTTCCAAAAGTATTAAGGCTGAGCTGAACAATTTAAGGTGGTAGACCTATACCTGAATGATATTCCACCTTAAAACTTTTTCACCTGCTCCTATTTTGTGATTTGCTGAATCCTTCCAATTGCTTCCTAGGTCTAACTTGTCTGGAATAATATTCTGGTTGTTAACAGTTGTACGAAGCTAGCATAGCTTTAATGTTTCTGCCGAATGTCATTACTTGATCTCTCCAACTGAGCTCTGGAAATAGCCGGAATCATCTCGCACAGACCTTTGATGACCTCAAATGAAGAAATAGCAAAAGCAAAGATATAATAGCTGGTGGAACTCTTCTATGTTTTGTGATTCAGGTTTTATCAATATTGCTGACAAAATCTACCGGCATTTGTTTAATTTGAGATGTGAGGCTATATTACACATCAGTACAAATGATTAGATATTTACATGACCTAGATTTTGTAGCTCTGTTAACCAATAGGCTACTTCACTTTAACCATAAAAAAGTCAACTAGCCATATAGACATAACCATGACATAAATCAGAAACCTTAAAATAATCAAAGAATCTCATTGGTGTCCAATTCAGAATGAAAGTGAAAAAAAATCACAGACCATTTCTTGTCACCATCCTGCCTGCTCCCTCTTCCACTCATGCAGAAACTGCATGTGCTCCTGTGAATGAATGTGTGTGAATGCTTTTATGTTCTCATATGTAAAATCAATTCCTTTTCACAGATTCAGTAACCATGAATTCACCTGCTTGTTAAATTTTATTTGTAATCCCCAAATCAGTATTCCCAGAGATTTTGTCATAATTTGTGGACATGCACAGAGGAGCAAAACATTTGAGTTGTCTAAAGCACTGGTTGCAGCTGAGGTAGAACAAGGCAATGTGCTGCCTTCATGTTTCTGCTCCCATACAAAGATGACCAGAAAACACAGGCAGTCAGGGCAGGGCCAAGCAGTGCCAGAAGCTCCAGCCTGGGGCCAGGTGGGAGGGGCTCAAATCCCAACTCTAGCGTCTGTTAGGATGGCAACACAGACATGTCACTTAGCACTTCTCAATCTCCTTATGTCTTTTGTAAAATAAAGAGAATAAAATCCACCAGGATGAGATTTTAAGATTAAATATGATATTTGATTTATATGTTTCCTCTAAGAGTTAATTCACTGTTTTCACTAATTCAATGTTTTCAGCAACTTTATAGAACATAACTACCATGAATGTCAAGAATCTACTGCATCTTGACATTGGAGATGAGAGTATGAGACACCTCAGTGACTTCAGTGTTGCACTGAGAGGACTGAGGGAGATCACTCTCACCCAGGCATATATGCACTTATTTTGACATATGCTTCAATGTTATCATATGGTTTGCCAATTCAACTGCAGAAATTAATCTAGCTTTTATAGTTGATCCAATTCCATTTCTGTTTGCTATAGGAGATTGTTTATGGAGTCACTCAGCTACCCATCGACTGCTGTTTTTCTCTGATAATATTACTATCTAATATTTACCCTGGGTGTGGGTCTTTTACAAAAGTATTAGGCAATTATTATGCGGCAGTTGATAGCCATTTCTGGCCTCATGACAGATTTTTCAGCTGGTTAACGACTGTGCTTGAGATAGAAATAAGCCAAAATACAGGAATTGTTTAATTAAATCAGGGACTCATCTACTTTAGTTGAACAGAAAACTAGCACTTTTAAATTAGAAACAAATTACATGTTGCTGATATATAAATAACTATGTACCTCATAATAAATTACTAAATTAAATATAATTTAAATTGACAAGATTGAAACAGACCACTTAAAAAGTTATACAGCTATCCCGCAAGCACATGAAAAGATGCTCAATATCATTAGACCTCAGAGAAATGCAGAATAAAATCACCATGAAATACTGCTGCTCATCCACCAGAATGACTATAATTATAAAGACTAACAATACCAATTATTGACAAGAATGTGAAGAAAGTACAACTCTCCTACTTTTCTAATGGGAAGGTAATGGCACAATTACTTTGGAAACCAGTTGGCAGTTTCGTATAAACTGAAACAAGTACTGTGGGTGCCGGCACATCTGTCGGGGGGCTCTTGGCCAGCAACAGGGTCCCAACCTGGAAAGGGGGGTGCACGGAAGAGAAGAAGAAAGAACGACAGATGGGGTCTGGAGGGTTGAGAAGTCAGATGCTTCACCAACAGCTTTATCGAACTCAGGGTCTGGTTATATACATTGCAAGTAGAAGTGTTTACGTCATGGGATCAGTGTTTCGTGAGATAAAGGGGAACAGAAAGTTTTACAATACAATCACAAGTCACCATATTTTGGATAAATATGCTGGGAACAGGGAGATACATAATCAGGTTAAAGCGGGGGGTGCAATTATCAGTCACAAGAGTCCAGGTGCAATATCTAAGTTTAGAAGTTTAAAAGAAACTATTTATCTAGGGCAGGAGTTTCACAAGAAAATCACAGGCTACATTATAAATCATTAAGTCACAAGCAGTATTGTAAATACCACATCAAGGGTCCAGGTGCAGGAAAGACATAAACAAGGCAATTCTTACTATCAGCTTGCTTTGAAGATTTAAGTCATAACTTTAAGAAGAAACTATAATGAATAGAGAACCAAAAGTGGACACTATCAGAACAAAAAGTGGACACCATGCCTCCCGTCACCTCAGCACAATAGAGTAATAACACGTGTTATTTTTTGTATATCACATAAGCTTTCTTGCAGTTCTTCCCCATAGCTCGACTACCTCCAACAGGGGGCCCGTGTCCGGGATCAAGCTCAATCATATAGTGTGACCCACTACTTGGGGGTCTCATATGGGAGCGTTTCCACAGTTCCCCCTTTCTTTGTTTTTAAATACAACTCAAAAAGTTTGAGGCGCATTTGTTGGAGGGAGGAGAACACAAGGCAAAAGAGCACTGGAAGAAAGATCAGGAGAAGGAGTACAATGACTCCAATGCCAATCACGGAGGAGAGGGATGGAAGGTAAAGTCCCTGTGACCAGGAAAGTATAGCATTAACTATATCTTTTGCCACAGAAGAACATCAAGTAACTCTTTACGGGAGAAGTCAACAGCGTGAATTTCTTGTTGTAATTTAAAAACATCCAGAGACAGGTTGTCATGAGACCATATTCCCTGAAGATGTGCCTTGACTAATGGCCATTGCCAGGCAGAATCACTGTAAGGAGCATTAGTTACACAAATATAATTATAATCCACATGACAATGAAGTGCCATATGATTCTGAATATTATAAATTTTGTCACCTAAAATGTTTACAGTTTGTTCCAAAGCATTAAGTTTTTCATCAAGTTTTTTGTCAATGTCCAATTGAGCACCCATAGAAACAGAAATATTTTTAGCAAGGTAATTAACATAAGCTGCAGTCTGAACACTGTGAGCTAAACCAGCAGCAGCCACGGCAGCAGTCGCGACCACAGACACAATGGCCAAAATGCTAGCAATGAATATACTAATAAAACGTTTAGAACGGACCATAAGGTCTCGGACCTGGTGTAAGATTTGCAGGCCTCTTTCATCATACCAAGAGCCAGAGATATTTACAGGAAGCATCACATATGGAGGCTGATGGATAATCAATATAGTGGGAAGGGGAAACAGTGGGGAATCAAGACAATTAGTCAAAATGCAATTGTTACAAAAAGTAGAATAATGACCCTTACATTCTGTGAAGGATACATTACCAGCAATGATAGCATAAGGAGAGGCAATACAAGCTTGTACATGGATATCATGTTTAGAAGGATAAGAGGAACTGCGAGAGCTAGCCCTAACAAAACCAGGGGTTAAAGCCAGGAACAATTTCCAGAGAGAAGTATAAGCTTTTCCTGTTTTTGTAGTAAAAATAGGAGTGCTCCAGCCACCAGGCATTTCATATCGGGTAAGATAAGTCCCAAGAGGATGAGGGATAGACCAATCATACAAGATAAAGCCTGTGGGCAGAGTATAACGAAGGGTTTGTTTCTGGTTGGGAAAACACATTTTCCAAGGGGGTGACAGGTCTGAGGAGGAATTGCTGGGTCGACACCGTCTTCTCTCTATAAGAGGAAATTCTGGAGAAGAAGCATTATAAGATTTCCCTAATGCCTAAATAGGAAAGGCTCCAGACTCTACCAAACAGTGTCTCACCGGGGAGGACATCACTAGGGCCATTAAAGGTATGAATTCGTTTTTTACCAAGATCAAAGCAGAACGGGCCAGGTGGAAATGATAATGAGGGAAGTTGCAGAGAAACAATATTAACATATGAATAATCATCCCAAACTTTTGATGTATAAAAGCACATAGGTGGGGCGGCAGCTTGAGCAGAGTAGGTATAAGTGGCCATCTGAGGAGTAATATGAGAAGAGGAAGGAAAGCCAAGAATAGAGGTGTCATTAATATAAACTGGAAAAGCAGGGTCATCCCAAGTGACAGGTCTAAGTAAAAGGGGGTCAGGTACATATGCCCATAGTGTCTGGGAAGGCCGTGGCAAAGGAAAGGATAGAGCAGTAGGTACTTGACAGGACAAAATAGCCATCATAGCAACAAACATAATAATAGGAGTATGAGGAGAGTGTTGATCAACCAGTCGAGCATCTTCAGTCTCCTCAGTTGTGCCCATGTCGGAAGATCGCAGCGTTGGAAGGTAACTGTCGTTCGTCTGGTTCTCCGTCCGCGGCGCAATGGTGGAGTTCTCAGGTACATTCGCCGAAAGTGAGGAATCAGGGTGTTTGATCTGTTCATTGACAGGAAATCCATGCTTGACCAGTCGTTCTGGAACCCACACAGGGGTGTCAGCGGACCTAGGAAAGACACAAACATGTCCTCGTCCCCAGATGAGGACTGGATCAGGCCCATTCCATTTGTTAGTGAGGACATCTTTCCATAGTACCTCTGGATAAGCAGAGGCTTTCGGGTACCAAAAGCGGTCAGCTGCTGATCGATCTTCAGAGTCAAGAAGTAAAAAATTAAGAACATACAAGGCATGTTTAAGCCAATTATGAGATGTCTTGTGCAATTCAATGCCAAGTTCTCCTTTGTGTAGTTTTTAAGGTTATTTTGAAAATTGCATGAGTACGTTCAACAATTCCTTGTGGATTATAAGGAATGCCTGTATGGTGCTGGTTCTGAAATTGTGAACAAAAGGAAGAAAAACCTTTGCTAATATAGGCAGGACCATTATCTGTTTTCAATATTCTGGGTGGACCTATTATAGAAAAAATGAGAAGGAAATGAGCAATGACATCTTTAGTTGCTTCTCCTGTATGTGCAGATGCTACAAGGAAATGGGAGAAGGTGTCAACAGCAACATGAATATATTGGAGTTTACCAAAAGGAGAAAAATGAGTAACATCCATTTGATAAATATGACCACTCTGTAAACCACGAGGGTAGCTAGGCAAATGTGGAAGGCAAGCAGAACATTGTTTTAACAATCTGACGTGCTTGTTCACGAGTAATTTTATATTGCAATCTAAGGCTACGAGCATTTTGATAATGCAAGGCATGAGAAGCTTCAGCCTGTTGCAATGGAGTCAGAACAGGAAAAATATTTTGTGTTAGTTTATCAGTCCGACGATTTCCTTCTGTTAAAGGGCCAGGCAATATAGAATGAGCCCTAATAATGTCCAATAAAAAAAGGATGTAATCTTTGTCATATTACTTGCTGTAGGGGATATGAAAGGTGAATTATTGGAGAAGAGCCAGAATAGGTTAAAGGACATGTTTCTATATCTTGTACCAAGTGGACTACATATTGGCTGTCAGAGTAAATGTTCAAAGGAACGTCCCAATTAGAGAGGACATGTTGAACGGCTAGAGGCTCCACATGCTGGGCTGAAGATTCTGCTGTTTTAAAAGAAAATGGATTAGCATCAACTGTGCCTGCTGCTATACCAGAAGAAGAGCCATCAGTAAAAGCTAAATAGGCATATAACAAAGGAGCTCTTACACAAGTCTGAGGAAAAACAAGAGAAACATTGAGCATAAAAATGAAGAATTTTATCAGGCAGCAAATGATATTTAACATCACCAGTGTAGCCTGCGAAAGCAACTTGCCAGTTATCGGAAAATTGCCAAAGCCATGTTTGTTGAAGAGTATTGTAAGGAATAATAATTTCAGGTGGCTCAATTCCAAATAGAGCTAGGGCCCGAATATGACCCTTGGCCACCAAAGCGGCAACTAAATCATAATATGGAGATATAACTTTACCGTGGCTTGCAGAAAGATGAAGCCATTCTAGTATACCTTGTTGCCAGAAAACTCCTGTGGGAGTGTAAGAGGTACATAAAATGCAAAGACACCAGGGAACGTTAGGCCGAATTCTGGTTAATTTTTGATCCAAAAGGGCTTGATGAACTAGTTGTAATGCCTGTCTTGCTGAGTCAGTTAATTTTCTGGGAGAAGATGGACTAGGAGAGCCTTTCAAAATATCAAATAAGGGTTTCATCAACTGTCCAGTAGTAAGTTTTAAACTGGGTCTAATCCAATTAACATCACCAAGAAATTTTTGAAAATCATTTAAGGTGGTCAATTTTGCTGTAGAAAATTTTGGAGTTATAAAGGAAACTTGTTGTGCTTCAATAATCCTACCCAGATATTGATACGGAGTGGAAGCCTGAATCTTTTCAGGGGCTATAACTAAATGTGCTTGTTCCAAGCACTGTTTTAAATATCCAAAAGCATTAATTCATAAAGGCTCATCAGGAGCGGCCAGCAATACATCATCCATGTAATGTAAAAGTAAAACATCAGGAAATTGTTGACGAACAGGGAGGATTACCTTCGCAACAAAATTTTGAAAAAGTGTGGGACTATTGGCCATTCCCTGGGGAAGCTCTACCCATTCATATCTTTCATAGGGTCGGCCATAATTAGTAGATCGAATACTAAACGCAAAACGTTTGCAATCTTGCGGTGCAAGAGGAATCGTAAAGAAACAATCTTTTAGGTCAATAATTATCAGTTTCCAGTATTTAGGAACAGCCGTAGGAGATGGCAAGCCAGGTTGTAAAGAGCCCATAACTTCCATAGTTGCATTTATTTTTCTTAAGTCTTGTAGAAGTCTCCACTTACCAGATTTTTTCTTTATAACAAATATAGGAGAATCCCAAGGACTCTGAGTAGATCTAATGTGACCTGCATTGAGTTGTTCCCGAACCAACTCTTGGGCTGCCAAAATTTTTTTGTTAGATAAGGACCATTGTTCTACCCACACCAGAGAATCAGATTTCCAAGTAATAGGATCAGCATGAGCATCGGGATTCACAATGGCTCCTAGGTAAAATACCGTAAGCTGGATCGATCTGGTTTTTGAGGCAAGGTTAAAGGTTCAACAATTCCTTGCAAATTTTTACCTAGTCCTTTTCCAGTTTCATAACCTTGTTTAGACATAATTTGTAAAGCCACATTGTCAGTAACTAATTTTGCTCCCATAGCTTCTAAGGCATCTCTTCCCCAAAGGTTAAGAGGAATTCCTGAAATAACATAAGGATGAAAATGTCCTGAATGACCTTCATTATCTGACCAAGATAGGAGTGTAGCTGCTTGTTCGGGATTGCTACTCATGCCAATTCTCTGTAGGGAAGTCATAGTCGGTGTTGTAGGCCAAGAAGGGGGCCAATGTTTTGTAGAAATAATTGAAAGATCAGCTCCAGTGTCTAAAAGTCCTTTAAACATTTTTCCATTAATAGTAAGAACCAATTCAGGCCTTGTAGCAGAAATAAATTGCACCCAATAGGCTTAAGAAGAAGAACCAATACCCTTATCTTCTCTGGGAGAATAAGAGGTTTTCCAACCTTGGTGGTTATTGGAATAAGTAAAAGCTGAGCAAAAGGCTGTTCAGGAGTTAAAGTATAAATGCCTCTTGGTGCCCATGTCATAACTTTTATTTCTCCTGTATAATCTGAATCAATAATTCCAGGAATAATTTGAAGACCTTTTAAAGACCAACTAGCCCTTCTCAACAATAATCCAGCAGGCCCTGATGGCAAAGAGCCAAATACACCCATAGGAATAGCTTGTGGGCCCATTTCGGGAGTTAATATGTATCTGGAGGAGGGACAGAGGTCAAGTCCTGCACTGTGGGGGTTTGCCCTATGAAGTTGTGAAATTGATTTGTTTCCTGGGGTTGTGGCATTCCCTGAATTACAGGTGCGCTGAATTTCTGAGGGGGTCGGGACTGCCCCCTCTGGGAGTTTCCCGACTTAGGAGGAAGAACATTGTCTTGGGCATCTCGCTTAGAATGGCACTCATTGGCCCAGTGATTACCACGGTGGTAACGAGGACATTCTCCTGATTGTTTTATTTTAGTGTTAGAAGCCCCAGGTTGAGTAATAGGTGTACCAGTCTGTCAGGCTCTAGCTATATGGCCTAATCCCCCACAGCGGTCGCATTTTTTCTTAGCTTGATCTCCATTATTGCCAAACTTTTGTTTTATAAAGGCGGCTACAGTCATGCCAGCTTGAGCGGCGGCCATGGCAAGACCTTGTTGATAGGCAGGTCCAATATCAGCAAAAAGTTGTATATAATCTACTAATGTGCCTTTCTTGCACCAGGGCCTAAGAGCAGCCTGACAAGGAGCATTGGCATTTTCATAAGCCAATTGTTTAACCAGCAATGTTCCAGCCTCTGAGTCATTAACTTGTCTCCCTATTGCTTGAAGCAGATGGGCTGCAAAGTCTGATAAGGCTCATCAGGTCCCTGTCTTATTTTTGCTAATTCTTCAGTTTTTACTCCAGTGGATGGTAATTGTTTCCAAGCTCTAGTAGCAAGCAAATTAATTTGTGCAAAGGCTTCCGAGGGCAAAGTAGCCTGTGCTGCCTAGGGCTCATAAATTCCCTTTCCTATTAGCGTGTCTACTGTAATAGGTATATGATCATGGCGATTTCTTTCAGCCTGTTCATAAGCAGCATCTTCATAATTAGCTCTCCATAATAAATAATCACCACCAGAGATACATGCTTTAGTCATACAACCCCAGTCACAAGGAGGAAGGGCTGAAACAGTCAAATTTTCAATAAGAGAAATAGCATACGGAGCTGTGGGACCATATTGTGCAACCGCTTATTTTATCTCTTTCTAAGTTTTTGGTGGGATAGGATCATAGTGTCTAATTGGATTTCCCTGATTATCCATTACTTCTATAACAGGATAGAGAGCAGGACACATATTATCATCTCTATGCAAAGACATTAGAGCATGAGTTAAAGGAGTTATCGGAGCAGCTGTAGTAGATCGCAAAGCGACCGGCATGGCTCCAGCAGGTGCTGCTGCTTGCTGCACTACCAGATAAAATTGCTGTTGATTAGTAAGCGCTCGCGAACAAAGTGGAAGTAAATCCTGAAACTGACGAGCAAGATCAGCAGGTAAAGTAAAAGTGACTGGTCCAGGGACCCATTGAGGAGCAGCCTCAGGAGTGGGCATGGCAGAGCTAGGTTGAGTAACAATAACGTCAGTTAAAGGTACATCAGCCAAATTAGAATCATACTCCCTATGATGACTGTAAGATCTTCTCTCAGCAATTTCCTCCTGATCAGGAGGAACAGGCGGTAGGTAGGCACCTGGAGCACCTGAAGGTATGGAAGTATGGGAAGCTGACAATTTACGTAGGGAAGCAGAAGATGTATAAGGCAGAGCAGAAGGTTGGGAGGGACAAATACACAATCGGAGCTTGCTCCAAACAGATGACAAAACGGTGGCTTGAGGTACATCCTTATTGTAAAAACAGAATTGTTCAATCTTTTCCCCAATTATGGCCCAAGCAGACTCATTGAACATACCTCCCTCCATCAGGAATCCAAGGGCAAATTTCCCGAATTACCTGTAAAAACTCCTCTACTTGTTTTAATTTTATTTCATGACCCTGAGTTTTCATCATTGAATGCAATAACTGTACAAACAAATTACGCTCCTTTGATTCTAACTGCCCCATTTTTACTCCAGATGAAAATTATTCTTACCTTCAGAGAATGATTAAAATATATACAAAATCAACAATACTTGATAATACAGGCTTATCTCAATACTCACTACCGCAGTCTCTCACTGTTTAAGCGTCACCGAAATCCCCAATATCCAGTCCCTTCATGGTCGCCAAACTGTGGGTGCCGGCACGTCTGCTGGGGGGCTCTTGGCCAGCAACAGGGTCCCAACCTGGAAAGGGGGGTGCACGGAAGAGAAGAAGAAAGAACAGCAGACAGGGTCTGGAGGGTTGAGAAGTCAGATGCTTCACCAACAGCTTTATCGAACTCAGGGTCTGGTTATATACATTACAAGTAGAAGTGTTTACATCATGGGATCAGTGTTTCGTGAGATAAAGGGGAACAGAAAGTTTTACAATACAATCACAAGTCATCATATTTTGGAATAAATATGCTGGGAACAGGGAGATACATAATCAGGTTAAAGCGGGGGGTGCAATTATCAGTCACAAGAGTCCAGGTGCAATATCTAAGTTTAGAAGTTTAAAAGAAACTATTTATCTAGGGCAGGAGTTTCACAAGAAAATCACAGGCTACATTATAAATCATTAAGTCACAAGCAGTATTGTAAATACCACATCAAGGGTCCAGGTGCAGGAAAGACATAAACAAGGCAATTCTTACTATCAGCTTGCTTTGAAGATTTAAGTCATAACTTTAAGAAGAAACTATAATGAATAGAGAACCAAAAGTGGACACCGTCAGAACCAAAAGTGGACACCATGCCTCCCGTCACCTCAGCACAATAGAGTAATAACTCGTGTTATTTTTTGTATATCACATAAGCTTTCTTGCAGTTCTTCTTCCCCATAGCTCGACTACCTCCAACAGGGGGCCTGTGTCCGGGATCAAGCTCAACCATATGGTGTGACCCACTACTTGGGGGTCTCACATGGGAGCATTCCCACAAAGTACTTATCATCTACCCAGCAAATCAACTCCTGTGTGATTACCTCAGAAAAATTAAAACATATGTCCACACAAACACTCAGACAAAAAAGTTCATAGCAGCTTTGTCATAGCCAAAAACTGGAAACAACCCAAATGTGAACAACAGGCAAATGAATTAAAAAAGTGTGATATATTCATAAAATGGAATTTAAAAATAAAAATGAACTACTGATACATAGAGCAACATAAATGAATCTTAAAACCATGATGTTGCTGGGACAAGGTGGCTCATGCCTGTAAGGACACTTTGGGAGGCTGAGGCGGGCAAACTACTAGGTCAAGAGATTGAGACTATCCTGGCCAACATGGTGAAACCCCATCTCTACTAAAAATATAAAAATTAGCTGGGCGTGGTGGCGCGTGCCTGTAGTCCCAGCTACTCGGAAGGCCTAGACAGGAGAATCGCTTGAATCGGGAGGTGGAGGTTGCAGTGAGCCAAGATCACACCACTACAGTCCAATCTGGTGACAAAGTAAGACTCCATCAAAAAAACAAATGATGCTGAATGATAGAGGCAAATATAAAAAAGTATAAACTGTGTGATCCCATTCATATGAAATTCTAGAACAGACAAAACTAATCTATGACAACAGAAAGCAGACCAATATTTGCCAGGGGCAGACGGGATCAGGGAGAAGAATGTTCCAAAGGATCATGAGAGAATGATGGGGGTTATGGAAATGTCCTGTACCTTGGTTGCAGTGGTGTTTACATGGGCACAGGTAATTGTCAAAACTCACTGAACTGTGCAGTTTAAATAGATACACTTAACTTTATGCAAATTAAACCTCAAAGTTTATTTTAAAAATTATTTATGGCTATGATCGTAATTCTATAAGAGAGAATTAGGAATAAAGGAAGAGCAAGAGGATAGGAGAGAAAAGAAAATGAAATAATCTGTGAGGGGAAATAGAAGGAAATTACATAAAGACAAAGGATGAGGGAGAAGTAGTAAGATTTACAAAGACTTCATAATTCTCAGGGACTATAAATGGCAGAAATAAATGTAAAAGTTATGTGGCAGGATGAGCAACTCACATTTCTCTGCCCTTCAATGCTCTGCTTTTTGACCTAAGTTAATACATTTTGAAGTTTCCTTCAAATAAGTAGTCTAATGCCCATATATACTATGTTTAAATTATTCATGTTAGTTATTGATGAAGCATAAACAGGAATAACTACACTTTTAAAACATCCTATCCGTAAGAACCAAAAATAAAATGATGCCTACTCTGGTAGAGAGTCGCAACTCAAATCCTTAATTATTGGGATATTCTTTTTCCCCACTCTGGTTCACTGTTTCTACATAAAGTATTCACGAGCTAGTTAAATAACCACATGGTAGTGTGTGATATGTTTCAGACTTCGGAATAGATATCAAAGTCACAAAAACTTGACCAAAACACTGACTGCTCTGACAAAGAGTGTTTTAGACAGAGGCTAATATATATAGAGATAATTACAAAAAATATAATAACCACAGAGGCATGTTTTCGGTCATTTATGTGCATTAGAATCACTAAGGCAGTTGCTACAAATGAAATTCTCTGTTCTGCATTCAGAGATTCTGATTTGTGCAGACTGGGTAGGAATCTGAGAATTTTATATTCCATGTTTTCCAGCTGATTCTCATGGACACCAAAATTTGAGACCCACGACGTAGGACTAAGAAGCTCCAACTCACGAAAGCATTCATAGGATGCAAGACCAACGGTTGACTGATCACTTAAGACATTAGTGTGTCAGCAAATTTAGACTTTCACAAGCCAGGTAGCTCTTGCTATGATTCTGAATTTAATTTTAGGAAGTTCATGGCCATAATAAAGAAAGAAAACAATAGGATATTTCACAGAGCCTCTAAAGGGGGTTTAGTTTGGCTAGACTTGAGGTTCATAGAAAAACAATGATTCCAAATTTGTTTTACTGTAACTATATCTTCCAACCATACCACTTTTCCAAGGACAAGAGTGATTTGCACTTGGAGTAGCTAAAAGAGGAAAACGCAATCCTACAACACTTCAGCTTTGTGCTTCTTCACAGTCCTCTGTGGTTATCCCGTAATCACACTAACTGACAGCTCTGTTTGTCCGGAAGATTTTGTTGCTACAGCTTTTGGTCTTGTGATATCTAGCTTTCATCTGTTCTGGATATGGTTTTGGAACTAATATTCTAGAGTCCAAACTAGCTAGGTAATAGAGAATTATGGGCACACTTGTGAAGACTTAGCAAGAGCCATGAAAAAGTTCAAGCACTTAGGATGTGAAGCTTCAGAAGACCAGGTTCTCATGGCAAATTTCTGATACTGTACTTCCCATTTATTCAGAATCAGGGCTACTGGGAAAATCTCCATTCTTGTGATAACAGTACTTGAAGTTTCAATAGTAATTAAAGACCAGAAACTATGGCATAATCTGAGACTATCTGGTGTCTGGGGAGAAATTTACTGTTTCTCTCTCTTTCTTCAAATGAGTTTTTACATTCTTAAAAATGATAAATAGAATATATATTAAACTCATTTCAATTATTTTATTGCTATTGATTACGGCTTTAATGCATGCAGAAATTACGACCTAGTAAGAGAGATAACACACAAACATCAGTGTTCTGAATACCACCCAATATATGATAAATAAAATATAAAGGAAACAAGGTAAATGCAATTAGCAGCCAGGAGACAAGGGTACCTCTTGGGTGAGATAGACTCTAGTGCTTAAATAAGTGTTGAAAGGTGATGGAGGGGTTTTATATGAAAACTTTCAGCCTAAAGAAGAAGGAAAGAATCATGGGAGTCCAGGGAACAATTTAAACAGAACTACGCAGACCAAAGACCCAGTGCGTATGTATGCGAATTATGAATAGGACATAAGTCATTACACTGGTTCTGTGTTTGATACTTCTGAAAATTAAAAGTCATTGGAGGCAGTCACTCACAAAAGACATTACAGTGAGCAGTTAATATCCTAGGTGCTGCCCCACAACTCCCCACACAAACTCAACCCCACATCCTGCATTGAGGGGTGGGGAGAGGGCAACCTTGGATTCCTGACCTTACAGCTCATAATCTGTGTGATCGTGGATGAATTGAACTCTAGCAGGCTCAGTGTTCTTCACAGTTAAATGATAATACCAGCTACCTCATAAGATTATTGTGAGGATTAATTAAGCCTGTCCATTTAGAACTCAAGACTCCTTAAAGCCTTTCCTGATACACTATAAGCCCTCCATACTTGCCAGCTGTTATTATTGAGCAGTGAAATAATACAACCAAAGTGAAGTAATTTAAAACCAATATTTTGGGAAGATGTTAAAATGTATTAGAGAGAGGTGACTCTTTAAGAAATGAGACCAATAAAAAGAATACTACTAATTTATTAAGTATGTGGTAATTAAAGACTAAACTAAGGTCACAGCAGGAGGAATATAAAGAGAAAGATACCAAAAATATTTCAAAGGTAAATTGTTAGGACTGGAGAATTGTCAAAGGGAGGCAATAAAAATCAATGAGTCAAGGATGGCTCCAAGATTTAATTACCAAGGAAATGGCGCTTCTTTTAGAAAAACCTGGAATGAAATTAATAAAGTAAGAGACAGTTTTAGTGAAAAATCATTAGTTCAGTTTTAAGCATGATGAGTTTGAGGTGCCTATAAGGCACTCAGGGCAGATGTCCCAGACTCCTGACAATGCAGAACTGGAGCCCAGGAAGGAGAGGGCTGGAATGGTGTGTAAACCATCAGCTTGACGGTGGTAAAATGGAATATAGATGGGTAGTATTAAACAGAGAGAGAGGAAAAAGAGAGACTAGGATATGACTTTGCAGAACACCAACCTTTGGGGCAGGGAGGAAAAAGAGCCATTAACATTTTCAGAGAGAAAACTATCTGGGGTAAGAAGGCCAAAGAATAAACATTTCTAGGAAGTATGCATTAGCCATCAAAGGATAAATGCTAGGGAGTTAAAAGAAGATTATTATTAATAATAGTTTGTTGTATTTATCCCCTGATAAACACAACATTGGTGATTCCTGAGAACAGATTCAAAAAAACAGTGAAAAGAGAATGCAGATTGCAAGGACTAAAGGAATAAGCTATATTGGGATAAAGACAACGTTATTTTTGGAACATAAAATGATTAACCTAAAGGAGACTGAACAATGATCTGAAATAAGCAGAAGGTCTAAAAGATGGTTACGTTTGATATGGATTTTTTTGATTGTTTGTGTTAAGTAAAGGGGGAAGGGGCGATGTTGTGGGGGCACTTACCAGTAAGAACAGAAGTGAAGCCAAGCCCAAGCAGAACAGAGGCTGGCTTGTGGGAGACATTCGTGAAGAAAAGCTGAATAAGCCCTGTCTTAAAAGATTAGGATATCTACGAATGTTTATAAAATAAGAGAAAGAGCCAGTAAGAAAGCAGAGAAATACTAATAGAAGAGATAAAGAAAATAATTGAATAGTTTTATGGAATACGTTTTAAAATAGTGGTAGACGCTGGGTGCGGTGAATCACAACTGTAATTCCAGCTACTCAAAAGGCTGAAGTGGGAGGACAGCTTGAGCCCAAGAGTTCAAGTCCAGCCTGGGAAACAGCAAAACCCTCAGCTCAGGAAAATAAAAAGAAAAGAAAAGAAAATGGTGGTGGAAAGAGCAGAAGTGTAAATGACACATTTTCCCCTACAATGAAAGAAAACAAAGAAGTGAAGATTAAGAGGAATGTGAGGTTATGGGAAATGAGTGGCAGCAGAGATCTCTGAGGAGGAGGGGAGAAAACCTACAGGAGCTTGCATTGGCCAGCAAGTCCAGAAGGAGTAGAGTCATCTGCTTAGAGTGAGTGAGAGGCCATGAGAGTAGAAGCTGAAAGCACAGAAAATCTAAAACAGCTGCTATGAGGAATGCAGTAAGAATTTAACAAGCAATGAATAAGAAAAGAATTGACAAGTAGCATTAAGAACCTAAATGAGGTTCGATAGCGCGAATTTGCAATGGACCAAGTCTGCACAGTTTCGTGACTTTCCATAACACCAAGTGGGTTACATCATCTTATCGCCTCATCAGTTGTTCCTCAATGCATACTTTCCTTTTCAACTTTTTCAGTCTATTTAAATGAATCCAAAAATGAAATAAAGGTTAACAATATTTGATCAAATTCTGCATAGCACAGTACAAGAAACACAAAATTGTATTTAATCCAGTACAGTAAGTTTGATTTTTCCCTGTTATTCTTATGCTAATAATATCATATTAGTGAATGACCAAATAAATCTTCTAGTTTATTGAAATGATTATAAAAAATATGCTTACAAAATGACCATAATAAGTTTTATTTTTTTTAAAGAATTTCAACTTTAATTTTAATTCAGAGTTACAAGCAGAGGTCTGTTACATGGGTATACTGTACGATGCTTAGGCTTCAGATACATGCTTAATTTAACTGATATTCATGTTTTATTCCAGGGATTGACAAAATAAATCTGGCCCATCTGTTTTTGTACATTTTACAGGCTAAAAACTGTTTTTACATATTTTAATAGTTGGGAAAAAATCAGAAGAAGAGTATTTCATGACATATGAGAATTATATAAAATTCAAATTTCAGTGGTCATACATAATTTTACTGAAACACATCCATGCTTATTACTTACATATTGTGTATGGCTGCTTTTGCAGTCAAAAAGCAGCTCTGAGTAGTTGTGAGAGATCATATGACCGACAAAGCCTAAAACATTTACTATCTTGCCTTTTACAGAAGAAGTTTGCCAACCTCTGTCCCATTCATCCATTTATCCATTATTCACTGAGCACCAACTATGCATTAGGTGCTGCACTAAGTGTTTGAAAAATAAAACGGGACATAATTACTACCCTCCAGGGTACTACGCTGTCTTAATAGGAATACGTTAATGCCACTTTAATAGTGTTTGAAAGTTATTAAATCTCTGATTAATGACTCTTAGCAATGAACCCCACAGCACTGTGTCCCCCTTACATATTTTCCAGGAGAAAAAGCTGAAATTTCAAGTGTGTAAATTGCCTCTTCACAAATGCAAAACTCATATGTTACACAGGGAAAGCTACAACCCAAGTCTTCTGAAGCTGCCTCATTGCACCATCTCACATCCCTTCCTTCACTGACATGGGGGTAATTAACCTGAATCATGTGGTCTATGTGAGAACTGAATAAGATAAAGCAAATGAACTTTTAATAATTTTTAAAGCTGTCAGAAATGCAAATGCTAGAAAATGTTACCATCACAAAGTTATGAGGAAGACAGGAGTAATTAAGTTCAAAAGATCTATTGTACAACATGGTAACTATAGCTAATAACAATACAATATATACCTGGAAACTGGTAAGACAATAGATTTTAAGTGTTCTCACCACAAATAAATGGTATGTAAAGTAATGCATACATTAGTTAGCTCAATTTAGCCATTCCATAATGTATCCACATTTCAAGGCATCATGTTATATGCCATAATTAGGTACAATTTTTACTTGATGAACTTAAAAATTAACTAATTTAAGAAAATGATATAAAAGGGATAAATAAACAAGGATAAATAAATGAAGGCATAATGTGGAAAGTGTGTCTGAAGGATACAAACACATTGCGATGGTGGTGTATTGCACAAAAGATCATAGTTCAGCGACAGCAGCAAGGATAGGATTTGTGCCCTGCCCAGAGGAATGGGTTAACAAGTGTTCAGTCATCAATAAAGAAAATGATCAATTTTTCTTATAATTTCATTTCGTAAAATATTGAAGTTATTCATTCCTCAACTCATTCTCCTAGCTCTCATTGTTGCATTACAATTCATCTACAAAATTATATCATAATTAATGGTGAGGCATGGTGGTGTGTACTTGTAGTTCCAGCTACTGGAGAGGCTGAAATGGGCGGATTGCTTGAACCCAGGACTTCAAGATCAGCCTAGACAACACAGTGAGACCCCTATCTCAAAAAAAATTAAATTCATATCAAAATTTACATGTTATCCAAATAATATAGATAATATGTATAATAGAATCTATATGGCACCACTATTAGTACTGAGGCCAGACAGGGCAACCCACAACACAAAATGTACATTAATCATTCAATTCCTGTACTGTTTTCTTTTTTTTTTTTTTTTCTTTTTAATTTTTTATTGGATTTTAGGTTTTGGGGTACATGAGCAGAGCATGCAAGACAGTTGCGCAGGTACGCACATGGCAGTGTGCTTTGCTTTGCTTCTCCCCTTCACCCACATTTGGCATTTCTCCCCAGGCTATCCCTCCCCACCTCACCCTCCCACTGGCCCTCTCCTTTTCCCCCCAATAGACCCCAGTGTAGCCAGGAACCAGCCTGAAAATTATTTCCCTTACAAACCCCCAGGCAGTACCATATGAGTTAAAACCTATCTGACAACTCTGGACATTTAAGAAATTAAGCAGTGACGCAATATTGTACTTCAGAAGAATTTGCTGAAAAAACTCACATTATTGCATTCGGTTTCTTTGGAAATGTACCAATTTGGTTTAATTTGGTCTATTTTATGGGAGGCAAAAAATTATTTCCAACTGGATACACGTACTTGTCACTAGAAATGAAACCTATAATTACTGAGAGTGAAATGCCCTGAGGCACATTTTGACAGCAATTTTATTGCTTAGGCTTGGAATGTATTACATGATTATAATTACTCTATTTCTGAAGGTAAATTTAGGGAAGCTTTACCATTATGCTCTGAGGCCATTCTTGGATTTGTCACATTATGCCATGTTTTTATAGTCATCAGACTTTGCTAATACTAATCAAGATGTTGTGGCTGTTTTTGACTTGGGTCTTGCTAAAATGGCATATCCCACTAATTGTCTCACCCTCTCTGATTAAGCACACAGAAAGTCCAAATATTTAGAAATGATTCATTATTCTTAGCCAAATAAAAATATAACAATGAAGTCACTAAAATTTTAATAAATTCATATATCTCATAAACTCTTTTTTCTTAACCCTTGTAGGAGGTTACTTCGTTTGAATTTGGGTTTGCTTTTTCTAGACATATTTTTATAATATGACTGTGATGTATGTATTCCTAGACATCACATGATATTGCTATTAATGTTCTCAAAAGAATTGATTGAAAAGCAAAACAGACACTTATAAAAATGATCTCACCACCCTGCATTTCTTTGCCTTTCCACCATCCAAAACTAGAATAAGCTTCAAAAGGAAGCAAGTAAATGCAAAGCTCCAGAGAAGTTTGGGGCTGTGACGGTAGAAAGAAGAGGCTCTCTTTCTGGCAGAGGCCTGGAAAAATAAGCTAAGTCCTAAAAGTTTCCTAGAGCAGAAGAGAAGCTGGCTGGAGGCATGTGGGACAGAGGCAGAGAGTGTCTGCTGCCACATCATCTGGTTCCCCACAGGTCTGAAGTGACTTAGGAAGGCAGCCTAATTTTCCTACCTCCCTCCAACTAGGAACAAGAGGCCTTGAGGGCTTTCTCTTTAGACAAGAACAGTACGGAACATAAACCAAATCCTAATCATAAGGCTTACCATTCAGGGGGTGCAGATGTAGAGAAGGAGCATGCCCAGCTGATGGACAGAGCAAGTTGCACCTCATCAGATAACAAATTAGACAGATGCCAACAATCAGCAGTCACTGCTTCCCAGTGCTATCCTGTAGAGTTACAACTCATGTTATGGGTTAAATGCAAAATTATCGTGTTTACCCAGAATGCACCAAGACTATGTGTTCTGTCATGAGGAACTGAAATAGAGATTCAGACAGAGAGTTATTTCAAACATAAAAAATAAAAAATATTATTTCTTTATGCCTGAGGAAATGGCATGAAAATATTGTCATAGCCATCAAAAATTTATAAGGTGATGTAGTATTTTCCATAAATTAAGTAATGGAGGTAAATCGAAGGAAAAGAAGCACAGAAGAGGGAGCTTAGAGCAGTGGGTTAGGAATGTATAAGATTCAAGAAGGCAAAGTTGGAGGAGAATCTTTAAAGATACGATTCAGGCCAGGCTCAGTGGCTCATGCCTGTAATCCCAGCACTTTGGGAGATCAAGGCAGGTGGATCACCTAAATTCAGGAGTTCAAGACCAGCCTGGGCAACATGGTGAAACCCTGTCTCTACTAAAAATACAAAAATTAGCCAGGCATGGTTTTGGGCAACTGTAATCCCAGCTATTTGGGAGGCTGACGCAAGAAAATTGCTTAAACCCAGGAGGCAGAGGTTGCAGTGAATTGAGACTTGCCATTGCACTCCTGCCCCTGGGTGACAACGCAAGAGTCCGTCTCAAAAAAATAAAAATAAAAAATAGGATTCATGTCACATCACCCATAAAAATCAACTGGGGTTCATAGAAGTAAAAATTAGAAAAGATTAATTTGATCAAAACCAATATATAAGTTAATCTATGACTATTAACATAGAAAATACATTTAAAGTTTCATTCAGAAAACACAGTTGGTGGTAGAGTTGAAATTAGATTAATAAAACTCAAACAGACCAATAAAATGCCAATGGATGTGGTACTGTTTATGTGCCTCACAATGTTAAAAGAAAAACACATATTAATAAAAATTTATATATCATATTTTTGCCCTCAAGAAACTCATGCTCTTCAAGTCAAAAAGACATATATGGTTGACAAAATGAGTCAAGCTCTGTAAAATATTTGAAGCAACTTAATTATGAGTCAAATATGAAGACCGTACTCCATGACACAGCCCCAGGAGATTCTGAGAACATTTGCCCAAGGTGGTCAGGCTACCTGACCTGTAAAAAACTATAAGAACAGCTTAGTTTTATGTTTTAGGGACACATAAGACACCAATCAGTACGTGTAAGATGTATATTCCTTTGGTTCAGAAAGGTGGGACAACTCAGAAGTGGAGGCTTCCAGGTCATAGGTGGATTCAAGCATTTTCTGATTGGCAGTTGGTTACTGCCAGGTTTAACTGAATTATACTGGCTCATGGTTCTGCATGGCTGGGGAGGCCTCAGGAAACTTACAATCATGGTGGAAGGTGAAACAGAAGCGAGTGCCTTCTTCACAAAATGGCAGAAGAGAGAGAGCGAAGCGGGAAGTGCCACACTTTTAATCTATCAGATCTCATGAGGACTCTATCACAAGAACAAGGGGGAAGGCTGCCCCCACCACAGTTCAGTCACTTTCCACCAGGCCCCTCCACCAACAGGTGGGGATTACAATTTGAGATGAGATTTGAATGGGGATATAGAGCTAAACCACACCCATTATTATGTAAAGACTTGGAATCAACAGAAAGAAATGTCTGGGTTAAGATAAACGGTTGTGTGGATGTGAGGGTGACCTGACTGTGACATCTGTCACCCCATGGATCGCCAGCATTGATTAGGCTGATCTAGCTGGCCAGGCGGGTGTCTCCTTCCTTCCTTACTACCCCAGGTGTTCCTCCTGAAGCTGGGCACTTGGTCGAAGAGAATGACCATCCCTGATAGAGAAGGACTGGTCTTCAGTCAAGGGTATATGAGTAGCTGTATTCCCTTGCTGGAACCTCCAAACAAGCTCTCAAGATAAACAGTTGTGGAGACAAAAGTTTGATTGTGCAGCTGAAGCCTCAAGGTAGTAGATTTCAGAGCTCTTATCAGACCTAAAAAGGTGCTAGCCAGATTCTTAGGTAACTTTCTCCTAGATCTAGTTAAATCTCTCCTGAAAAAAGAAAGAGATTCTCTACAGAATGTAGATTTTCTCCTATAAGAGACAGCTTTACACGGCCACTTCAAACTATATGAAAGAAATATATTTTGGGGTAACATATTGTGATTCTGCTATTTGCCATGTGATGCTACACCAGAGTCAGGTTCAAATTTCGTGTCTTATTGCTACAGAATCTTTACCAGTCTTAAGATCTCTGTTTTAATGTCAATGCTGGTCAGGTGTGCCTGAATGCTAAAGGGAGAAGGGTATAATGAAGTATGTTGACCCCCTCTTCCCATCATGGCCTCAACTAGATTTTCAGATTTACTTCGGAGTGCCTTTGCCAAGGGGTCCATCAACCGGTTTGGGGAGCTTAGAATTTTGTTTTTTGGCTTACAATATATATGAAATAATTCAAAATACAAAATCATACAAGTTTCTATATAATACAATGCCAAAAGTACATTATAAATGAAGAAACAGAAAGTGAAGAGAAACAAAGCTGTCTGGATTTACTGAGGATCTTTGTAAAAAAAAAAAAAAAGTGGCACCTCACCTAGAATAGAACTAATCAGCTGTAAATAAATCAAGAGAAAGGAGGCTGGCATTGTAAGTAGTAGATATGATGAAGGCACGCTGCAGAAATATGCATAGAATATGAGTGAAAAATAAAATGGACCAACTAGACCTAGGCGTTGAAGACTATGAGTTTTAATAATTGTAGATGTATTAACATGGATGGAGCTGGAGGCCATTATCCTGAGTGAAATAACTCAAAAATGGAAAGTCAAATACCACATGTTCTCCCTTATAGGTGGGAGCTAAACCATGGGTACACATGGACCAACAGAGTGAAATAACAGACGCTGGAGACTACAAAAGATGGGAGGGTGGGGGGATGAGGGATGAAAAATTACCTGTTGAGTATGATATCACCCAGACTTCACTGAAACCACCTTTGCAAAAATCATATCAGTGAGAAAAATTATTACAGTAATCTAAGCTAACCTACCCGCATCTTGCCTCTCCCTAAATTATTCCTGGGCTGTTGGGCTGAGCTAACTTTGAAGACATTTAGGCTACAGTGTAAATGACAATAGGCCTTGCCCAAAACTCAGCTGCTTTCGAAAGCTAACGGCTGCTTTAGAAGGCCACCAGGCTGCAGGGAGGAGAGATGCCTGAGTTCTGCTAAGGTATAGACATAAAGGATTGTCAGTCATTACTCCAGAGGTTCTAAGACATGCAACTTCCCCAATTATTCCTGCAAGTATCACCACTATTGCAGATTGAATTTTTGAGAGATCGTTCCAGTTTTCTGCATGTTTGACACCCACACTCCAGCTAAACCTGATGGCTTTTACCTGGACCACCAACACTGCTCCTGTGGCCCTAACCAGAAGCAATTCAGCCCTCAGAGGACAGGTTTGACCCCCTATGATTTCATCTTCACCCCAACCAATCAGCAAAAAGCACCTGTTACCTGGCCACACCCACCTGTTCCCTCAAACTGTCTTTGAAAAACCTCTAACCCATGAGCTTCAACCTAGGATATTTGAGGAAAAATTCCAGCTCCC